TTCAGGTGTGTGTCATTTATCTTTGTTAATATTTCCTCTGGATGCCAGCTGGGTACCCGTGCCAGCCGGCTCCCAAACTGGGCATGAGGAACGCGCCGCAAACGCCGGGCTTTTTTCTCTCTGCCCGAAGTTGCCCGGCAACAGCGCGCTTGAAATAAACCCACCGTCCCGTAGAAAACGAGACACTTTTGTTTTAAAACTCCCCCTCTTTTGCATAAAAAACCTCTTTAACTGTGAGAGGGGCGAGTTATTTAAGACAAGGACTCTTTTGTTTTAGCCTGTGAAAGGCGTCAGACCCCGCTCTCCTCCTGCGACCAGGGGCCGCCACGTAATTGGCCTATTTAGCTGGTTTTGCATGTGAATGAGGCGCTAGTCAAGCATCGCTAAGTCTGTTGTGAGAGATGCCGTCATTTGAATTCAGCTCAGCGCAAACATTCTCCATACTTTATCACATCTTCTAATGAGCCCCGGCCCGGGACACTTCCCCCTCCAGTCTCCCTGAAAAGTTAGGAAGTTTACGCTATGTTACCCGATCTGACTTCCTCACACACTCCCGACTGGGACATACATGCACGTTTCCACTAGCTTTCTTTCCTTTGGAGCGAGCACTCGTTAGCTTCATTAGCAGAATGGTGTGAGCTGAGAACAGTGTAATGATGGGAAGAGTGTGTGATGGGAACAGTGTAATGATGGGAAGAGTGTGTGATGGGAACAGTGTAATGATGGGAAGAGTGTGTGATGGGAACAGTGTAATGATGGGAAGAGTGTGTGATGGGAACAGTGTAATGATGGGAAGAGTGTGTGATGGGAACAGTGTAATGATGGGAAGAGTGTGTGATGGGAACAGTGTAATGATGGGAAGAGTGTGTGATGGGAAGAGTGTGTGATGGGAACAGTGTAATGATGGGAAGAGTGTGTGATGGGAAGAGTGTGTGATGGGAACAGTGTAATGATGGGAAGAGTGTGTGATGGGAACAGTGTAATGATGGGAAGAGTGTGTGATGGGAAGAGTGTGTGATGGGAACAGTGTATTGATGGGATGAGTGTGTGATGGGAAGAGTGTGTAATGGGAAAAGTGTAATGATGGAAACAGTGTAATGATGGGAAGAGTGTGTGATGGGAAGAGTGTGTAATGGGAACAGTGTAATGATGGGAAGAGTGTGTGATGGGAACAGTGCAATGATGGGAAGAGTGTGTGATGGGAACAGTGTAATGATGGGAAGAGTGTGTGATGGGAACAGTGTAATGATGGGAAGAGTGTGTGATGGGAACAGTGCAATGATGGGAAGAGTGTGTGATGGGAACAGTGTAATGATGGGAAGAGTGTGTGATGGGAACAGTGCAATGATGGGAAGAGTGTGTGATGGGAACAGTGTAATGATGGGAAGAGTGTGTGATGGGAACAGTGCAATGATGGGAAGAGTGTGTGATGGGAACAGTGTAATGATGGGAAGAGTGTGTGATGGGAACAGTGTAATGATGGGAAGAGTGTGTGATGGGAACAGTGTAATGATGGGAAGAGTGTGTGATGGGAACAGTGCAATGATGGGAAGGGTGTGTGATGGGAACAGTGTAATGATGGGAAGAGTGTGTGATGGGAACAGTGTAATGATGGGAAGAGTGTGTGATGGGAACAGTGCAATGATGGGAAGAGTGTGTGATGGGAACAGTGTAATGATGGGAACAGTGTAATGATGGGAAGAGTGTGTGATGGGAAGAGTGTGTGATGGGAAGAGTGTGTGATGGGAACAGTGTAATGATGGGAAGAGTGTGTGATGGGAAGAGTGTGTGATGGAAAGAGTGTAATGATGGGAAGAGTGTGTGCTGGGTAAGTTTGTTTCGGAGATCCGCTGGGACACACGGATGCTGGATTGTTGTGTCATGTCTACATATTGTGTCTAATTACGCAGGTCAAATTGTCTTGTAAACGTCAAAGCTTTTGTAATTCTAATTAAAGGCTCTTTAAACATTGTGTGTTTTAATACACTGATCACTTTTTTAGCACAGTTGACATTTCAAGCATAAGTTTGCCTCTTTTTGATCAAATTTTTGGCTTTAAGTACGAAGGTCAATTTGTCTTTTAAACATCACAACATTTATAATCCTAATTAAAGGCATTTTTGACATTGTAAAACATTGTGTGCTTTAATACACAACATTGTATCACCTTTGAGTGCAAAAGTGGCATTTCAAGCATCTGTTTGTATATTTCTGTTTACTTTTTTATGATATTGTGCCTTTATTAAAGTTGTGGTGTTTAAAAGTTTTCATAAAGGCACAATTTCATAAAAAAATGACAGAAATATACAAACTCGTGCTTGAAATGTCAATTTCACATTTCTGTTCTAAACATTACGCAATGTTTATTAATATATTGTACACCATTTCAATTGACATTTCAAGCACCTTTCATTTTGATGAAATTCTGGCTTTAATTATGAAGATCAAATTTACAACGTTTATACTCACGATTATGCTTTTTTGAATAAAAAACGTGTTTAATTAGGATTGCAAAAGTTGTGACGTTTTAAAAGACGATTTAACCTTCATAATTAAAGCCACAATTTCATCCAAAAAAATGTAAAAAAAATTACAGTTGCTTGAAATGTCACTTTTGCACTGAAATGTGATACAATGTGGTGTATTAACGCCCACAATGGTTTAATTAAGATTATTAAAGTTGTGATGTTTAAACTTTTTCATAATATGCTTTAATACAACGCTGTATCACTTGTTTTGTATATTTCTGTCATTTTGTGTGATGAAATCGTGGCTTTAAAGGAGTAGTTCACTTTTAAAAAAACTTTTTCTGACAATTTACTCACCCCCATGTCATCCAAGATGTCTTTCTTTCTTCAGTCGAAAAGAAATTAAGGTTTTTGATGAAAACATTCCAGGATTTTCTCCATATAATGAACTTCAGTGGGAACCAAACGGTTCAAAGTCCAAAAGACAGTTTCAGTGCAAACTGCAAACTGTTCAAAGGGCTTTAAACGATTCCAGACGATGAATAAGGGTCTTATCAAGTGAAACGATCGCTCATTTAATAAATAAATAACAAAGTTTACAAGTTTTATAAGCTCAAATGGTCGCCTAGCTCTGTTTTGTGATGCGCGTTCATGACTCTCCTATTCGAACTCGTTTATCAAAATGAACAAATCTTTTTTCGTGTCATTTGCACTGAAACTATCTTTTGGACCTTGAACCGTTTGGTTCCCATTGAAGTTCATTATATGGAGAAAAATCCTCGAAATTTTTCATCAAAAACCTTAATGTATTTTCGACTGAAGAAAGAAAGACATCTTAGATGACATGGGGGTGAGTAAATATCAGCAAAAGTTTCTTTAAAAGTGAACTACTATTTTTAATTATAAAGGTAAAATATCACATCATTTTATAATCCTAATTAAAGGCCTTTTGGCTTTTTAAAAACATTGTGTGCTTTAATACTACATTACATTTCTTTTTGAACACAAAATTAGCATTTCAAGCATCTGTTGTTTTTTGATGAAATTGTGGCTTTAATTATGAAGGTAAAATGTATTTTAAGTGTCACAACTTTCATAATCCTAATTAAACGCCTTTAAAAACCTTTTTTGTGTGCTTTGATACAACATTTGAACATTTTATTTTGAGCATCTGTCATTTTTTTTTTTTTTTTTTTTTTTTTTTTTTTTTTGATGAAACCGTGTGTTTAATTATGCTCCTGTAATGTTGTGATGAAATCATGGGTTCATCGCAGACGCATTGGACAGATAAACGTGAAACTGTGTCCAGAAAATCAGTGGAGTAAAATGTATTTTTGCACATTTGTTGCATGGCTTCATAATCCCAGTGTATTATTCCTGACTTATTTAACACTAGTTCCTATAATGAGTGTGTGTGTGTTTCTGAGGTTGTTTTGATCAAATTGTCTCAAATTTCAAAACTTTTATAATGCTAATCAAAGGCTTTTTTTTAAGTGCTTTAATACAACATTGCCCAATTTTTGACATTTAACACTAGTTCCTATAACACGTGTATGTGTGTTTCTTTGAGGTTGTTTTGATCAAATTGTCCCAAATTTCAAAACTTTTATAATGCTAATCAAAGGCTTTAAAAAAAGAAAAACAAAAAGGTGTTCTTGCAACAATGCATCATTTTTAGCCCTTGACATTTAACGCTAGTTTCTATAATATGTGTGTGTGTTTCTGAGGTTGATTTGATCAAATTGTCTCAAATCTCAAAACTTTTATAATAAAAAATAATAATAACGTGTGCACTGTAAAAAAATATTTTCAGGATTTTTTATAACAACATTTTTTCTTTTGTCAAATCAACTTAAATAATTCATTTAGTTCAGATAGCTTATTATTTTGAGTTTCTGATGATTAAATCAATCTCCTTCATTGTATTAACTCACTTTTTCCAGTTCAATCAACTTAAAATTTTAAGGCAACCAGGTTACTTCATTTTTTTAAGTTAAACCAACAATATTTTTTATAGTGTGCTTTTAATACAACATGGCATCATTTCTAGCCCAATTTTGACATTTAACACTAGTTCCTATAATGTGTGTGTGTGTATGTTTCTGATTTAGTTTTGATCAAAATGTCCCAAATTTAAAAAAAATTATAATGTTAATCCAAAGCTTTAAAAGTGTGTGCTTTAATACAACATTGCATCATTTTTATCCCAATTTTTGACATTTAACACTAGTTTCTATAATGTGTGTGTGTGTGTGTTTCTGAGGTTGTTTTGATCAAATAGTATCAAATTTCAAAATTATTAACTAATCAAAGGCTTTTAAAAAAAGTGCTTTTTAATACAACATTGCATCATTTTTAGCCCGATTTTTGACATTCAACATAATGTGTGTGTGTGTGTGTGTTTATTTGAGGTTCTTTGCTCTGCCGCAGTGTTTAACTCCAGGAATGTCTGTTGTGTTTGTTAATTCAGTCGTGTTTCTAACGTGTGTAACGTCTTGCTCTTGTTTTGTGTGTGTGTGTGTGTGTGTCCAGTCGAGTCTCATGGGAGGTGAAGTGGGAATGGTCAGTCCCGAGACGGTGTCTCCCACTAAACTGGGCTCCCAGTATTACCAGCATTACACAGCAAACCCTCGACGGAGGCCCATGCACAGCGACTCCATGGGTGAGTCCTTCGTCGTCATCATCATCATCATCATCACACACACACTGCCTCTGCCGTTATCCTTGCATCTGTTTTACCATGTCAGGATCTTCAAGAACAGCCATTTTTCATTTGTTATTTTTTAATCTCGTCTGTCAAAAGGGGCTCGCAGTGATTATTGATTTACTCTTTTTTGTGCTTTTAAAGACTTTTATTTGTGTCACCTCGAGTCTTGAGGACGTGTGTGTCAGCCTTCAGGGCACAACAAACCCGCTTTTATTTCTGTCAGACACACACACACACACACACTGACTGTCTGTCTCAAGGCTTTTGTTTTGTGACTCATTTACACTCATGCATTTGGCAGATGTTGCATTCAAAGTAAACTCTTGAGTATAGTTCATGTTTTCCCTGGGAATCGAACCCGGGAGGTTGGCGTTGCGAGCGCCGTCAGTTCTTTAATGGTCAGTCGTTGACATTAAACGTTGTTTGTCTTTGTTTTTCTAGAGGTCCAGACAAAGAAAGTTCGGAAAGTTCCTCCTGGATTGCCGTCATCAGTAAGTCCTGTGTTCAGCTTTTGATTTTCGCAGCGATGAAACTCCAGAGTGCGTTTCAATCAGTGATATGATCGCTTTCTGACACACAGACTCACATATATACACATACTGACTCATACACACTATCTCAACATTTGAACTCTTATTGTTGTTGTTTAAAAAGTGTCTGAATATTTGCGTATGAATATTTCTGTACATATGTTTGTGGTGTAATGTGTTCATTGGTATTAGTGTTACAGTTCTGCTGGAAACACTTATAATACTTTAATAATGCATTTTTAAATATAGAAAAGAACATTGACTCAGACTGACATCAGGCTGTGAAGCCAGCGATCTCTGGTTTAGTAGTGTGTGTGTGTGTGTGTGTGTGTTGTTTAAAAGGCTAGACAGGACTGATGGGATGCAGTTTGTCTCGTGAAGGTGACAGTGGAGGATTCTGGTGTGTGTGTGTGTGTACGAGTTATTTCTGATCGCAGGTGTTTCTGTAGACAAGGGTCTCTGACACCGAAACACTTTCACACGCATGTGACTCATTAATGCCACATACGACACACATACACAAACACACAAACGTGTGTGCTGCAACAAACCTGTATGTTAGGATGCAAATATCATTGGTCATCGTGTGTATGAGAGAGAGAGAGAGAGAGAGAGAGAGAGAGAGAGAGAGAGTGTGTGTGTGTGTGTGTGTGTATAAGAGTGTGTGTGAGAGAGAGAGAGTTAGTGTCTATGAGAGGCAGTGTGTATAAGATAGATAGAGAGTGTTTGTTTGTGTATTTATTTGAGTGTGTGTGTGAGAGATAGAGTGTGAGTGTGTTAATTTATAATAATTTTACAAACTATAATCAGAGAATTTTCAGAATGAAAGTAATCCTATATTTAACTACTATACGTATTATTATTATCATTATTAACTTTAAATAATAAATAATCATTATGTGACCTATTATATGAGCTTTATGGTCAGCAGTGAGTAAAAACATTATTAAATCAATTTCTAAATCTGTTCCGTTTATTTAAAAAAAAATGTGCAAAATGTTTTTGTTTATAGAAGTGATTTGGCACAAATGCTAACGTTTAGTATTGTAGTTGTATAATATTCCATGCAGAGATGATAGTGAGTGATAAAGCGGTTCTGTTGGACATGATCTGGTTTCACACATTATAACTGAACTATAATTGGAGGATTTCCTCAGACATGAAGCGTTTGGTTCACGTGTCCATTTAGAGTCTCTCTTCATGAGTTACGGGGCGTGTTTGCTTCTCAGTGTGTGTTTTTGTGTCTTGTTCAGCATTAGAGTGGAAGTGAATGTGTTGCTCTGTCCATCAGAAGGACAGAAACACACACTTACCTGAAATACATCTCAACGTTTGACACGAGAAATATAAAACTAGGAATGCAGAAGTCTATGTTTTGACAAGGGAAATATATATATATATATATTTGACATGGTTTTTCTACATGAGTGTGTGTTCATCTGTTTTTACATGCGAGCGTTGTGTGTTTCTGCTCGTCTGCGCTCATCAGAGTGTTTAAAGTTTGCAGCTTTAATTAAATGAAGTTTGTTCTGGGAGAATATCCTCATCTAGACGAGATCCGCAGTAACTCTTCATTTACTGAGCTTTACCTCCCCCTTCAGGCTGAGAGAGGCACTGCAGAGAGAGAGTGTGTGTGTGCGTGTGTGTGTGTGTGTTTGGAGTGTTAGAGAGAGAGAGAGAGAGAGAGAGAGAGAGAGAGAGAGAAATAAATTCTTCACAGAATTTTTAAATGTTCACAAACTGTTCTATTTTATTTATTTTATACCGTTAACTTGTACAATTAATTTAATTTGTAAATTTAGATGTTATAATGCTATATTATTTTACTATTTTGATGTCTTTATAATTATTCTATGTATTCCAAGCTTTGGCAATATTGTACGATGTCAGGCCAATAAAGCAATTTTTGAATTGAATTGAATTGAATTGAGAGAGAGAGAGAGAGAGATAGATAGATAGATAGATAGATATATAGATAGATAGATAGATAGATAGATAGATAGATAGATAGATAGATAGATAGATAGATAGATAGATAGATAGATAGATAGAGAGAGAGAGAGTGTGTGTCTGTGTGTGTGTGTGTGTGTGTGTGTGTGTTAGAGAGAGAGAGAGTGTTGGTCAGACAGAGAGGGAGAGACACAGAGAGTGTGAATGTGTGTGTTTGTGAATGCGTCTGTGAGTGTGTGTGTGTGTGTGTGTGTGTGTGTGTGTGTGTGTTTTCATACGGCAGTAAAGACTCTTCAGTGTTTGTTTATCGTGCTCTTGTGGTTTTCCACCAAATGAAAACACAATAGACACTTGTTCATCATAAACGAACTGATTTATTGTGTTAAAATAAGAATATCTCCAGTCTTAAATCTATGCATTAGCTTTCATTTTTAAACTTATATACACTCTAAAAAAACACAGAGTTTCAGCCGTTTGCATTTTTTAATTAACAAGTTTAATCCAAAAGTTGGGTTTGTCCATATTTGAGTTAAAACCCAGTTTTTTAGAGTGTATGTGTTGTTTGAAGCAATTTGAGTCCCTATCCCTACAATCTCACAAATATTTCTACTAATCTACAATTTGAGTCTTAATTCATTTGTCACTTATGAAAGGGTGAATCTCATAAAAACACCTTTAATGCCAAATTTTATAGAAAATAAATAAGAAAATGAAGCTTGTTTCATTGTAAATGTATGTTCATGACAGTTTCAGATTCACACAGCAGCACTACAATTTTTTATTTTTTTTTTAAATTAAATTTAAATAACCATAAATTATAAGCAGAACAACAAATTCTATCCTTATCTATAAGTGATTTACCATTAAAATCACACATGTTAATATGTCGTTTTTGTTCATTTCAGTAACGAAAATGATTGAGGTGAAAATTGTTGGGGAAATTTTTATTTTTTTAATGAAAATTACTTGTATTAGTCGTTTTTGGCATACCTGATATAAAGAGTATTTAAAATATTGTCTTTAATTTTTTTGGCGAAGGAATGTTTTTTTTTTTTTTTAGATTAAATACGCCTTGAACACGTTCTTAGTGGGTTTTGTGAGATTAACCATAAAGATCGTAATAAAAATGGTCAGACTTAATGTGATTTTTGCCGTTCACATCCTAAAATACGGGTCATCTGTAGTGTCACTGGACAAACACACACACACACACACACACACACACACACAATGACAACAACAGCCACTAAAACACGAATGAAACCCTCAAACAATTCTGTTTGTGGTGCTCTTGATGAAGGCAGTGATGAGAACGAGAGGGGGGGGGGGCAGGTGTGTCTCCATGGCGACGGCTTGATTGACAGGTCTCGGACGGGCAGCGTGCAGACGGAGGTAAGACTTTGGCCTCGTCCCAAAACTCAGCGAAAGAAAGAAACAGCCTCCCGCACCAGCTGTCCACAGCGTTTGTGTTGGAACCCGAGTGTGAGAACCTGTGTGTGTGTGTGTGTGTGTGTGAACCCTTGCAGAACCTCGTCCACGTCTTAATGAACATGTGCTTGGTTTCCTGTGTGAGATCGGTGAGATATTAGTGAACAAGCGCGTGTCGTTTGCTGGTTTCCTGCAGAGATGCTCCACTGACACAGATGAAGTCCATTTCATCATCATAAAGAATTTAAAACGGGGAAATTACTAATTTCATCTCGTATGTTTAATTAGTGTTTGAGACTCGAGAAGGAATAATTCAGACAAAAATGAACATCATCATTTACTCTCGGACTGGACGACACAAGCGGAGACGTTGAGCAGAATGTGAACGCTGCTCTTTTACACAGTTAAACTGCACGTTATTATACTTTATGAATCATATTCGGAAGATGCATCATATATATAGTGAGAGTGCATGTGAATGGAGGCAGTTGAGGTCCATCATGACAGTCCGAATTATGATTCCCAAACAAAACGATCACATGACTCCAGCAAACTTGTAATGTAGAGTCGAATGGACGACTGTTGTGATGCTTTTTTGTCATTTTTGAAGCTCAAATGCCTCGAGATATTATTATGAGACTATTTTTTATGACTTAATGACTTAATTATTAGAAACTTTTTTTTTTTATTAGACTTTTTTGACTTTTGTAACGATATCATATTTGTCATTATGGAATACAAGCTTTGTATGTCATAATTTCAACTAATAGTTATGAGTTTTTATCTCATGATTACGCCTTATGTCAATTTGGACATTATATGTCATTAAAATGACTTTTATCTCACCTTTATCTCATAATTTAAAAATTTGTGTCATATTTATGACTTTATCTCATAATTTCAACTCATGTCTTGATTTTTGCGTTTTATGATGTTTTTTGTTGTTATTTTTGCCGCTCAAATGCCTCCATTCATATGCACTTTCAACATTTGTGCGTCATAACTTCAGCTAAGAGTTGTGAGTGTGATTATGATAACGCCGTATGTCAATATCTTTGTCAATTTGGACATTATGTCATAATAATGACTTTTATCAGACCTTATTCAACTTTTGTGTCATAATTATGACTTTATCTCATAATTTCAACTCATGTCTTGATTTTTTTGTTATTTTTGCCACTCAAATGCCTCCATTCACATGCACTTTCACCATATGGAAAATATTATATTTCTCTGTATTTCATGAAGTCATATGATAATTTCGCCCGAGAAACAGACTTCAGATGATGTGATTTAATAAGGCATTTCAAATGGACGACTGTTATGATGCTTTTTTTTTGTGCATTTTTGCAGTTAAAAAGCTTTCATTACATACTATCTAGAAAATATATTTCACTATATTGCAAGAAATCATATAATAATTCTGTCACAGACTTGTAATATAGTGCATGAGTCAAATAGAACGACTGTTTTGATGCGTTTATGTCATTTTTGGTGCTCAAATGCCTCCATGTACTTTTCCTATATGGAAAATATATTATATTTCACCATATTGGAAGTCTTATGAAGTCGTCATCATTTTC